ACCTGCGTCTGGGCCTCTCTGCTCCTTCAGGTGCCTCCCCACCCCGACCCTTCCTCCCTGCACCCCTCAGCGCCTCCCTGTCCCCCAGCAAAGGTGCTCCCCCCTTCCTCGGTCCTCCCATCTCACCACATTAACCAAATGTTGTTATTAAACCGAACACAAGTGTTCATGAATGTGTATGAGTGTGGCCATCAGAAGACTGAGGAGACAGAGAATGACTGCATTCGGTTGCTAGGGCTTCCTTAGTAACAAACTGTAGCCCAGCCCCTGTGATGTGAATGCCCCTAGTATTAAGAGCAACTATTTTTTTTAAATATATCTTTATTGATTTTAGAGAGGGAGGGAGAGGGAGAGATGGAAACATCAATAATGAGAGAGAATCATTGATCTGCTGCCTCCTGCACGCCCCACACCAGGGATTGGGCTCGAAAACCAGGTATGTGCCCTGTCGGGGAATCCAACCGTGACCTCCTGGTTCAGAGTCCGCTGCTCAACCACTGAGCCACACTGGTCGGGCTGAGCAGCTATGCTTAATTAGGCCTTTGTTCACATGGTAAAAGCTCTTCCTGCTCAACTCCCTTTGTTCTCAGAAGGTCCTCATTAGTTGCTAATGTGTGTGTCTTTTTGTCTCCTCAGGGACTTGAGGAGGATTCATGACTTTATTTTTGGGACGGAATGATGTCTCCAAGCGGCTGGCTCCCGGGGCTGAAATAGAAGAGCCCTAGCTAAAACTGAAGCAGCACAGCTTTCTCTCCTGCTCTCTGAAGCTCCCCTCCCCAAGTCCCTATGTAATAAAAGGCTAATATGCAAATTGTCCCCTTGACTGGGAGTTCAACCAGGAGGCAGGGCCCATCTGCCAACCATCCGGGAGCCTTCCACGCCCCGCCCACCCCCCAATTAATGGAACCAAAGTATACTGGGAGAAACCAGTCCTGGAGAAGGTGTAGCTGGGGTTCCAAGTGCAGGCCGGTGTCTGGAGCCTCCTTTCCATGTGACAGTGGGGAGTAGTTTAGTATCCAAGCGAATTAAAGTCTAATAGTCCAGGTGTGGAGGCCACGTGGACGCAGGGATGGGCTCCCCGACCACAGGAAGGAAATGTCAGGAAGCCATTGCTGCCAGGGAGAAGAGAGAGGGCGAGAGGAAGTGCGGACCTTTTACTTTAGGGGGTGGGTAGTCTTGCTAGCTCCTAATTGGTCTTTTCAAAGAATTCTGCCTAGGCAACATCCTTGGGATTGGTTTATTTTTTGCATTAATTTTTTTTTTTTTTTTTAGGGAGAGTAGAAGTGGAGGAAGGGAAGGAGAAAGGAAGAGAGAGAGAAACATCAATGTGAGACACATTGATTGGCTGCCTCCCGCATACACCCCAACCAGAGCCAAGGATTGAACCTGCAACCCAGATACATGCCCTTGACCAGGAATTGAACCTGCAACCCTTCGGTGTGTGGGCCAATGCTCTAACCACTGAGCACATGGGCCAGGGCCTAAAAATATTTATGATTGGATAAGGCTTATGATTAGACAGTCTGGTACTGATAATGAATCATCCCACACCCAAAAATGTTTCCAACTGAATGTCAGCATAATGCAGTAATCCTTCCTTCCTAAAATAAAGACACTGTTATCAAAAGAGAGATTTTTGCCTTATATAAAAACGACCCTAAGGTGAACTAAATTATAAAAACAAAACTTTTTATGCACCAGACTTCCAAGTTATCTGTGTCATAGAAGCACAATTCTCCCTACATTTGTAATTCTCTTTTCTTTGGCCACAGCTCTTCCAACATAGCTTCCCAGCGGTGTCATGCATTTTCCTTTAAACATTATGTTCTAGTGCGTGACTAACACTGACAAATTTGTCTGTGACAGGAGTCTTCCTCATGCTTGGCCAGCCTGTCATTTCCCTCAATGTAGGGTGGTTCTAAGTGAGTGATCTTTTAGTGACATTTCTCTTTGGTGTCTGGGTGTGACCTCACAATCTAGCCAAATAACTTTTAAAGAGTCCGGTAAACTCTTTGGGCTGGAAAAGGCTGATTTCATTTTTTTAATTCAATCACAATCATCTAATTGTTAAGACTCGGTCATCTTAAGGAAAAACTGACAGAACTGACTCAAAATGTTTGTGCAATGTAGCCTAGTTCTATGGCAACAGAAAGTAAACCACTGAAAGAACAAATTTTTAGTGGAAGAATCATGATAAGTATGTGACTAAGAAGAGTCTCCATTCAAAATATACCTCACATCTGGCCAATTACGGGGGGAGGGGGAGGGAGAGGGGAGCCTAAAACATTTTTGAACTAGCCCTCTAATGCTCAAAACTTTTAAATTGCTGCTGGGTATAATATTTTGTGCAGCTTATTTTTTTTTCATTCTCAACACAGTAAAATGCTATAATAACTGAGGTTACATTTAATAAAACTTAACGATTTAAGTTTTACTTCTCGATCTGTAATTTTTATAGGGAATTTATTATATGTCTAATCACTTTAAAGGGAATGATAGAAGGGGGAATTTTAAAAAGTCAGAAAGAATATATAAAGTCCTCATACAACTCAACAAAAGGAAGACAAATAATCCAATTAAAAAATGGGTAGACGACCTGAATAGACATTTCTCCAAAGAGGACATACAAATGGCCAAGAAACATGTGAAAAAAAGCTCAAAGTCACTAATCATCAAAGAGATGCAAATTAAAACCACAATGAGATATCGCCATACACCTGTCAGAGTGACTATCATCAAAAAATCAACAAACAACAAATGCTGGCAAGGATGTGGAGAAAAGGGAACCCTAGCACACTACTGGTGGGAATGCAGACTGCTGCAACTACTGTGGAAAACAGTATGGAGCTTCCTCAAAAAATTAAAAATGGAACTTTCATTTAACCCAGCGATCCCACTTTTGGGAATGTATTCTAAGAACCCCCCAAAAACAATCAGAAAGAATATATGCATCCCTATGTTCATAGCAGCATTATTTACAATAGCTAAGATTTGGAAACAGCCCAAGTGCCCTTCAGTAGATGAATGGATAAAAAAGCTGTGGTACATTTACACTAAGGAATACTATACAGCTGTGAAAAAGAGGGATCTCTTACCCTTTGGGACAGCATGGATGGACCTGAAAAATATTATGCTAAGTGAAATAAGCCAATCTGAGAAAGACAAATATAATATGATCTCCCTTATTTACGGAATCTAATGAGCAGAATGAATTGACCAACAAAATAAGACCTAAAGCATGGAGGCATGGAGCAGACTAACATACCTTGATTCGGGGTTGGGGGGATGAGAAGAGATGAACCAAAGAACTTACATGCTTCTAGGCATAGTCCATGGACACGAACAATAAGGTAGTGAAGATATGAGGGGTGGTGGTTAGGGTCTAGGACAGGGGTGGGCAAACTTTTGACTCGAGGGCCACAATGGGTTCTTAAACTGGACCGGAGGGCCGGAACAAAAGCATGGATGGAGTGTTTGTGTGAACTAATATAAATTCAAAGTAAACATCATTACATAAAAGGGTACGTTCTTTTTTTTTTTTAGTTTTATTCATTTCAAACGGGCCGGATCCGGCCCGAGGGCCGTAGTTTGCCCACGGCTGGTCTAGGAGGATGAGGGTAAAAGGGGGAGGGGAGGTATCTGTAATACTATCAACAATAAAAAGTATATTTTAAAATGAAATAAAATTGGAAAGAGAAGACTAACACACAACACAATTATACAGTAATAAACAGCAATCTATAATCAGGGCTAGATTGTATAGTAGCCAGAGTTAGTGAGGATGTTAAAACATTGTTTCTGAAGAGGTAAATTAGTAAAACCTTTTTACTCATTTTTTTAGAAAATGTAGAATATCTATTAAATTTTCTGTCATGACTTCCCCCCACAAAAAATGCAGAAATAAAATCTAGATACAAGTTTTATAACCAGGGCTACATTTTGTTATAAATTTTTTTCATGGAAAATTTTAAACAGATACAAAAACAGGAGAATGTGTCTTCATGTACGTATCACCAAACCATACTGGCAGTTTTATTTTCTTGGAATGCTCTTCCTCTAGCTGTATTTACACAGCTCACTACTTCTCAGCTTTCAGAATTGAACTCAAATCACCTCACAGATGTCTTCTATGAACATTTGACCGAAAACTGTACCCCCTAAAACTCCCTCTACTTTTTCTCTTTTTAAAGGTTTTAAAATAGATGTTTAGAGAGCAAGTGAGAGGGAGAGAGAGAAACATCAATGTGAGAGCAAAACATCAATGATGAGAGAGAATCATTGATTGACTGCCTCCTACATGCCCCTTTCTGGGGATAGAGCCCATAACCTATAACCTGGGCATGTGCCCTGACCAGGAATTGAACCAGCAACCATTAGTACATGGGGCGATACCCAACCAATTGAGTCACACTAGCCAGGGCTACCTTTTGTCTTATTTCTCACCATAACATTTCTTACTTTCTATACTTTTTTCAAGTATTTTTATTTCTTATCTGTTTGCAATCCAATAAACTACATGAAGGGAAGGATTATCAAATGCTTTTTTCATTGGTATAATCCACTACCTAGACCAGTGATGGCGAACCTTTTGAGCTCGGCGTGTCAGCATTTTGAAAAACCCTAACTTAACTCTGGTGCCGTGTCACATACAGAAATTTTTTGATATTTGCAACCATAGTAAAACAAAGATTTATATTTTTGATATTTATTTTATATATTTAAATGCCATTTAACAAAGAAAAATCAACCAAAAAAATGAGTTCGCGTGTCACCTCTGACACGTGTGTCATAGGTTCGCCATCACTGACCTAGACTAATGCCTGACACACAGAAGGGCTTAATAAATAGTAAATGAACAAATAAATATGTATTGATATGAGGAGACATCCATAATATATTACATTAAAAAAAACACAAAAAAACCCTGCAACACTGTTTGGATGGGAGAAAGCGGACTGCAATTGAGGTAGAAGTACTCACTAAATAGTCTGCACTCCACACTCCACATTGCCCAGCTCACTTTCTGTTGGGCAGGGCTTTGGTTACTAGTTATGGCCAATAAATTGTGATTGAAAGTGGCATATGTCAATTATGGGCTGGAGCAATAAAAACTCCATGTGTGATTTTATAGTCTCTCTTCGCTCCTAAAATGAGCAGAGGAGCCATGTATGGCAGATGATGACCACAGTATGGTGGACTCTCCAGTATCCTGGGTCCCTGAGTTACTGCATGGAGAAACCACTCTGCCAATTTATTAAGAAATAAATTGTTGCCCTAACCGGTTTGGCTCAGTAGATAGAGTGTCGGCCTGTGGACTGGAGGGTCCCAGGTTCGATTCCAGGCATGTACCTTGGTTGCATGTACCTAGGGGATGTGCAGGAGGCAACTGATCGGTGGTTCTCTCTCATCGATGTTTCTAACTCTCTATCCTTCTCCCTTCCTCTCTGTAAAAAATCAATAAAATATATTTTTTTTAAAAAAGAAAGAAATTGTTGTGTTAAAGCACTGAGATTTTGTTGTTGGTTACTACAACATAATCTAGCCTATCCTCATATATGTACAAAACTAGCATTTATTAAGCATTTACTATATCCCCAAAACCATGCTGAATACTTTACATATTCTTATTAAACCCTCACAAAACCCTGGAAGCCAGTACTATTACACCAAGATGGGGAAACCAAGGAAGTATGAGGACAAATAGCTTGTTCAAGGCTGCCAGCTAAAGGGAAAGCTGGAAATGGTACCCAGGCAGTCTGGAGTATGATCAACGAAGCTATTAACAGTAGTGATCCCAGAGGGCAGGATTAT